AAACGAATTTAAGTTTGACGAAAACTGGTGAATTTCATCGATGAATAAGTAACAGCAATGAAAATACTTATTAGATATCAATATACCTATTTGTAATATGTAGTTGAGAGACATCAATTTTGTGTTGGGATATTTCTTTTTTTATACAATTTATTCTATTTTGAGTATTTCTTTATCTCATCTAGTTTTTATATGTATGAATTTTATTTTTTTTTATTCTAAATATTATCGTAATAATAATTAATTTGGTGAAAAAGTATTCGTACCAGAGTGACCAGATCAAAAGTTTTAAAATCGGAAACTAATCAGAAATCAGAAAGAATAGTTTTTTGAGAACTACGAGGCATCTTGTTAAGATGCTGGCATTCAATGCTCCGTTGAGTTTCTGTTCATTGACTTACACTGTATTTTCAAAGGTATTTCATTATGAAGAAAGACCATATAATGAATACATCGTTGAGCTAATGCGCAAAAATCTAATAAAAGCCACTCAATGTCGGACTTTTTTCCTAAATACAAAACCCGTCCGCAAAAAAGGTACACAAAAAAATCACATATATATTGTGTAGATTAAGAGATCCAAAGAAAAAAACGATTATGTAGTATCATCTTGATATTATCATTCATCCTCTGTATGTTTTCGAGCTTGCTTTAATAGGTGCGTTTGAGATAAAATATGTTGATAAAAATTGTTCACAAGAACAATCACCCATTTTTTTTTATTTCGAGTTCAGCATTAACTAATTCCATGTCCAATCTATTACGATAATCTGATATCGTACTTAATTTCGCAAACAAAGCTGTGATCTGAAAAAGTTTCGAATCCAGAAAAATCAGAAGGTCAGAAAAGAATCAGAAAAAAATTCAAATATCAAAAACTTTCCTTATTTTTCAGAAGATCTGACCATTCTGGTTCATACCCAACTTCTCCATAATAAATCGTAATGAATTGATGTTTCTTCTAGGAACTATCGAGAGAAAGAAGATTAAGTAGGGTGTGGGTGTGTTTACGGGTGCGGATAACACTGAGTTCGACCACATTCACACCCACAATAGAATTGATGCAAAGTGAAACGATACGAAAGAAGCAATTCAGGTGAATTTGGTGTTTCATCATTATGTGATAGATGCAATGAAATTACTCAATCGAGAATCAATGGAAGATGTTGTTGACATATAGTATTGAATTCACATTTAGATACCAATCGAAAATCGAGATGGTAGATTCGATAATGAAGAAAAATAAATTTGTCAAAGCGATAATTAAAACCATAAAATGCACGTAAAAGATAAACAAAATCGATGAATTCAAATAATTCAACTAAGTAGTAACTCGTTGGCCAATTCTTCAAAGTTATCTTTTTACAGTACAACAAAACTATTGCAGAAGTTATATTTTATGAAGAACATAAAATAAAACGTGCATCTCATTTTTCTCTTCTTGTCACCATACATAGACTCGTTTATTTGTTGATATTTCAGTACAAGAAAAGAAAAAACTATGACTGCATTGTAACAAAAAGGATACAGTTATTTCGTTTTTGACGGCACTGTTGAGTGCATCATTCATTTGTTGATAGTTTTTGTGAAGAGAGCGAAACCATTTTTTAAAATAATTTATATAATTTTCAGAATTTTATATAGATGTTTATTCTTGTTTGGTTTTGATATTTCTGATAACAAAATGTCTATTGAAATCAACTATGATGAAGTCGAATAGTTTCAACAGATATTGCTGCAAGTAAAAAAAAACAAGAAATTCGATGAATGAAGATAATATAGTCATTTTAAAATCCATTCTGTTTTTTCAAATAAAGAAACACGACCCATTGAACTGAAATTTTCATCATAAATAGAGTACATGAAATAAGGGAACATGTTTAAGAAAATCCTTCTTTTCGGCAGAACTGCACATTGCAGCCTCCATCAAATGTCATCGGATTGGACGGGAAATTTTTTGAAAACACCTTAGACTAGATTTCAGAGATAATTTAAAATTTTTTAAAATTCTTTTGCTTTTATCAAACAAACCGGTTGACACCAAAAAAATTCAAAGTCAAGATTTAATCTTTCAAGACCCTATAAATTTGCATCAGCAGATCGAAAACGAAAACGATCAATTTCGCTTCTGGAAAATAGTTTTAGACATCTATAGCATAAATTTCAACTCAAATAGTCGATAAAAAAAGTCTATCATAATTCACTTTTGAATATATTGTAAGAGACGGTGAGATAAGAATATAACGTTCATTTCAACTCTTTATTTCAAGAACTTTAAGAGCAGGTACATAATTACGTGAGACAAAACTGCTGCTGTGTCTGATTTTTGAAAGAAACAGTTTGATTCAATTAGATACAGCATTTGTTATGTTATGCTGAAAATAGAAGATAAGATTAAATTATTGTGCTAGAAAACGTATATTTCATTTATTTACAAAGCTTCCGTTATGCGGAGAAACTCTTTCAATAAATGGAAGATGGATATTGTTTACTCTAATAACTGATAAAAGAACATCATTTATAATAATGAAAAGTGTTGGGACAATTTCCATGGAAATATTTTCCATAGGCATTAATATTAATTCTCAAATGTCAATGTTTTCTATACAAACATTCTTCATGATAAAAATTTGATCTGTTAATTAAAAATCCATTACACCTTTAACCACCTCGATTTTGATTTTGACCTATGAAAAAATAGGCTGTCTAAAACAAGATTTTTTAAATAAAGTTCAGAGAATTGATACTTTTCATCAACAAAATCATAAGAAAAAAAAGGAGGAAGGAATGTACTCTGTACAACACTGAAACAGACAATTACACGTACGTGCAAAATTAAAAAATCTGTTTGTGCTTTCCAGTCATTACCTTGAAACCTTACTATTCTTCAGTTAAAATAAAAAACTAATATTTCTTCGATAAAAAATTTATTATACATTAAATTACTTAGTTTGATGAATCTTCTTAGGCTTAAATTTGAAAGTTGTTCCTGGATACTCATATTTTGAGATCGAAGTAAAACAACGTATTTCTACAAAACTAATCCAAATTACTCTAGTAGATTACTTTTAATAATGAAATTCTCTTTCTTATTTTCTCTTTAAAAAAAAAATTACGTTGAAGAAAACTATTCTTCTAATTTTTCTCCATACTTGACATATCGCTAGAAAAGTGAGAGCATAGTCTAATTTAAAGACTAAAACCAGTTGATCAAACACATTACGTTCGAATAAGATTGATTAAACATAAATATGTCTTCACAATCTTCATCCACCGATGTCATCACTACACTAGAATCAATAGCAACATATTTATTTCGATTTGGTGGTCTCATTTTGGTTGTCTTTGGTAGTATAGGTTGTATACTCAACGTTATGGTATTTTCTCAAAAATCTTTACGCAAAAATCCATGTGCTACCTACTTGGCAGTTGAGAATATTTTTAATTTGCTATTTATTAACTCATTACTCTTATCTATAACATTAGAAAGTGGTTATAGTATTTATTTTACTTCAAAGAATATTGTTCTCTGTCATTTGTGTTATTATACATCATTATTTTCCAATGTTTTAAGTTCATATTGTTTAATCTTAGCTTCAATCGATCGAGNTCAATTGATCGAGTTTTTGTTACTTCACCAAATGCTTCTACTCGACAACGAAGTACTTTACGCTTCAGTTATTTCTGTATTATTGGTGGAACAATATTCTGGATGTTATTTCATAGTCCTTCATTAGTCTTTACAAATATTACACAAATTGGCGAAAACATTTATATGTGCTTTTATCATGTAGGGTTTTATCTGGCATTCATTAGTTTTTATTCGATTATCAAAGAAAGTTCATCTACTTTGTTATTATTAATATGTGGAATATGGGCTGTGAAAAATATTCGACGTTTACGACGTGTTATACTTCCGATTGTTTCATCATATAGTACGGTTGTAAGATACGCGGGTTCACATATTATTCATTCAANGAATGTGATAAATTTAACATTGGATCAAAAAATCATAAGAGAAAAATGCGAATTTTACTTTCCAAATGTTGAATCATTAACATTAGAAAATGAATCGGATACTTTGACATATGATGATAATTATTTTCTATATATAGAACATGTTCAACTTTTGAAAAGAATTGTTAATTTAATTAATTTAAAACATTTATGTGTTTCATCAAAATGTAAAATAGATATGTTATCAGTATTATTAGAAATATTCAAACAATCACCACAACTATCATCATTAACTATCGATCCATTTATATTATCGATATTATACAATGATAATGAATTATGCAGATATTTGAATAAAATGATTAAAAAATTAGATATATACAAAGAACATAATGATATATTGTATGAGTTTAATACAATTCCGAAATTTTGTCAAGTATTTTCAAATCTTACACAATTAAAATGTAATATTCGACAATTGAATAGTTTGTTATTTTTGTTAAATAATTTACTAAAATTATCATATTTATTTGTTGTTGTATCATTAATGGATGAAAATTTTATTGATCAATTTAAAGATGAAATATTGAAATTGAACGTCATCTATGAAATAGATTATGATTATTTAACTCATGGGATATCGAAGACAAAAATATGTATTTGGATCGATTGAATTTTATTTTTATTCAATCAAATAAATAACATGTTACTTTATCTGAAAAGATAAAAAAAAAATTTTTAGATATTGAATTTTGCGAAAACTTACGCACAAATAATAGGTAGGGTATTGCACGAATTAACAATGAATAAAAAAAGTCAATATTGTTTTGCGACGATAACTTATTCTATCAAAATTTAATTCATAATATAGATAAATAAAAGCCAACAATATATGAGTAAACAAGCATCTTACTTTTCGAAAGTATTATATTCAAAAATCAAATTCCATTAAAAGTATTAATAACAAAAAAAAAATAAAGTTTACTTAAATTATCAAATGTACGTTTTATAGAACATATTTCGGTATTTCTTCAGATTACACACACATACCCCTTCGCCTTTGCATAATGCTGTGCCAGTCAACGTGAATACAGAGAAAAAAAAACCATTACATCTAAACTACAATCAATCCAAAAAGTATTATTCGAACACTTAAGATTATTCCCATTCTTCTTCAAAATCTATTTTGCTCCAGGTTCATGCAAATTGCATAAAATGTTTAACTTCATACCATGTGATTTGACTAAGATATTCACGAAATAAGAGTTCACAATATCTTATTTAGCAATCTGAAAGTTTCTGTGGATTTTCTTTTTTTTTTTTGTTTTTAAATATTTACTTTGTAAGCAGCGAAAACAAATGACATTTCAATAACCCAAGAAAAACTCCGAAGTATTGACTTTTTTGGGTTATTGAAGTTATGGGTTTGAGTGTTGTTCTCATTGTTGCTCATATTCAGATCTCATACGCACACCCACTCACATATCACACAACTACTTTCATTCGTTTCATTTTCCCAAGTAATTAGTTAAAATGAAAAATATCATTCAGAGCACACTAAAAAATCAAAATTAGTGCTTTATTTTGTTAAAAATTTCACGATTTTTTATTAAATGTGTTCTTTATAGCTCTCAATTAGAACGCTGTTCGTATAGTTCATTTTGAATTGAGCTACATGCGTTTAAAATGAATAATATTCGCATTCACCTGGTGGTCGTTTGTCAAAATAAAGTTGACAAACGTCTCTTGGTACAGCTAGATCTTTACAACAATTTTCCCATGGTATTACATCATGTTTGTTGTGTGCGCTCCATTGAAATAAATTTAAGATGTTGTCTGGAGCTCGTTCACGATCCAATGTACCAGCACCTTTATGTGGATCATTCATCCAAATACCTTCTTTGTCATAACAACATTGAGCACCAGGTCCCGTAGTTTTATATCCAAATCGGTAACATCCATGTGCACCTTTGTGATAACTGCATGTATTTGGATGGCTACTTGCTGCACATCCCGAATCGGTTTTCCATGTTTTAGAACCATCATTAAGATCTTGTGGAAAGTTTGCAGGTACACGACATGGACATTTACGTGTTTGTTCCAAAAATATTGATGGATGTGGCTCAGCATTATACCAGTTTTGACATGCCGTTATTTTTTTTGTTACTGCTGCTGACCGACCATTTTGATCAGGAATAATATTTCCATTAAGGCCGACAACTGTTAATGACAGAAGAAGAAAGATGAGCATGGTTTTTCGAATATCAATTCACAAAATGAAAATTCTCTTCATTGTCGACAATGTTTTATACCAAGCTGAAAACTTGACAAGTTTATTGTAATTGAAGAGTTGAATTCAAGTCGTAATATTAAAAATCATGATTTATTGCTTTTAATAGATTAGATTTACTGTAAAATATTATCATCGTAATTCATTTTTGTTAAGAATGTAAATGTGCTTAAAATTTATTTTTGACATTTTAACGACACAATTTATCTATGTTTAATGTATAAACTGTAATTTTTTCCCCATGCTTTCTGTTTTTTAATGGTTATTGATTCATGATAAGAATATTTTGTGAGCATAACAATAGATCAATTATACGCACTGAACTTTAGTGTATGCAGTAAAAAATCTACGCCAATATACGATGTATTTTTATGTTTTCTCGTGATATGGCACTTTGAATTTAAAAATACTTTATGAAAGTAGTTAAGATTAAGTAAAAGTGCCATATCAATAGACGAGCCGAAACAACAACATAATATCATGGCATAGCCAATACTCGGACAAACGTATGATCTGCCTCAGGGCTCTACATTAAGAAATGTGAGTATAGGATCTGTGTGAAGAGAAAACTCTAACGCCTACATGCACACCCTTAATATACTTCTGTTTTTTTCCAACTTTGAACCATTGGACAATTTCTAAATATTTAAAAGAGATTTTTAAAATCGCATAAAAATAATTAACTTCAAATTCTTTATTTCTATTCAATGATTGATACAAAGAAACAAAAAAAAACTTACAGAAATGAATAGTAACAAACACTAGTAAAGAGTTCCTAGATCATCCTTGTAGCGATAAAGATACATTTGTGACTAATCGAGGGATTGATTTGTCCGTTATAAGTTTAAAAAAGCAAAGAATGATTCACGCTAGTATACCGGCAGTCTGATCTGATCGTTTTTAATGATATACAAGTACTGATGAGAAAAAAACGCTACTACTCCCGACTTTGAATATAAGCTTTTAATTGAGGCTTTCCGATGCCTCCTCTTTCTACAAACGTTAGTAACCCGAATCCAAGAGTGAATATCATCAGTTTCGAATTGTTTACAAATAGCCGAGACGAAAGACAGCAGATTATTTTTCCCGTCGCCTCCTAGCAATCGAGCGAGGTTCTAAATGATATTAAATGTCGGGTTTAGAGTATTGCAGAACGTTTCAAAGCCTTTTTTGATATTTAAATGATTGGAATACGTTTCTGAATATTCTAGACTGTTCAGTTTCTGGATGTTGCTTAGATAAATGATTATATGACAGAAATCAAGCATGATGGCTCATGATTCACTGTATTAGCGTACTCAGAATTTTCACGATAGGAGGCTCCTAGTAAAATATAGCCCCAGCGGCTTCGTTCGATCCAGACTCAAAGCTTTGCTTGGATGGCTCAAACCCCATGATTATACTGCTAATTGGTTAATTTGCCATAGCGGTCACATATTCAAATCCAAAAGCAAGAACCGATCTAATTCTAACTTTCAAGCAATAATCGATATTAGTGCTTCTGAGTTTATCAAGATATATAACAGCGCTTTGAAATTTGCTGGGGAGATTATGAATGTTTCCAACATACTTATTTATCAGTTAAATTGCTGATTAGAATAATAATAATAAATTAAGAAAAATGGAATAAAAATATATAAATAAAGATTGAATAGCAACAAACCAATTAGGAAAAAAATTGTGGATGTCGTTATCAGACTAAATGCTGTATTCATGCACAACCACAACCACACTCACACTATAATAGATTATTCCTGTATAATTCCTTCTTTTTTTTTGAAAACTACAGCAACGATTAATGATCAATGAAGTGAAATATCTTAAAGAATTTTCAATAGAATAACAATTGATATTTGATAAATATCTCGTTTGATTCACTGCTTTTCCTTTATTTATTTTTTTTTTGTTGCAAACATTAAATTAATCATTTTAAACTTACAATTTAGATACTACAATAACGATGAGAACTCTTTAATTATAAATTATGTCTCATCAACAACAAGCATGATGAAAATAGAAAGAAATCGAAAGTTTTTGTTTTAACTCTTAAACTTGTATATTTCAATGGTATAAATGGTTGACTTTCAGTTAATAACATATCGCATATGTTAATTACTGTTTATCATTGTAAAAAGAAAAGAAATTTTTATGCATTTCTTTGCATTATTTTTCTTTCGTTATGCATCGATAATACCAATATTGTTCTTTTAACATATATTGTTTTTCTTACGAAGAAATGCCTTCGACTTATCAAAAATAACTGAATAGTTGATTATCAACCATTCTGATTTCCAATATAAAAATAAGAAATTCCGTTAAACTTTCGTGTGCTAGTAAAAACCAAGTTCATAGGTAGTTTTCATTAGAAAAAGCAAACAAACGATTGATCACTTGAAAATATTCCTATGTTGATTTGCTTATTGTTATGTTGTTTTTCAACATACANTAGCATTTTGATTCATTTATTTGAAAATGAGCTTCAACAGGATAATCATTATGTCTTTCACTTGTTGATGAATTAATACAACGACTAATTCCAAGATTATCTAGGACGATCATTTCAACCATCGAGATATGACATCTTAAACGGCTATAAAATGGAGAAATACTGCATTAATTTCTACCATATTTCGCCGTAATCCTTCATACTGTTTTACGAGTCGATTTATTTTGCTAGAAAACGGTCATTATTTCCCCAATATCGCTTCCATTTTCTGGTTTGTCGGGTTACGGCACCATGTTGTAGGACCTGGGTAATTGCCTCATCTGATGTAAATTGAATCTAATCATTTTATTGATCGTAATCTAATACAGTTATTATATCCACCACTTGATTACATTGGTGATATCAAAATTTGTATGCGTTGACCTATTCTTCTTGATTTCATGGCGTTACTACCATTGGATGCAGTTACTTCTCAAGAAGAAAACTCTGTGAATGATGAATCCGAAAAATTAAACATATTATATCTGAGGTAAAGAAGAAAACTTCTTTTAAATAAGAAATGTTATTACCAAGTGTTCGTGCAGGATAGATTAATAAAAGTCAGCGAAAATAAACAATCGAAGTGATGTGATATATAAGAGATATAAGGCGAATAAAGAAGAAACTAATCGAAAACAACAGAGAACAGCGCGAATCGAGATGCATGTTTAGCATAATCCACTGTAACAATATTCAAAATAAATAAGGAACAACATGGATTATATTGATTTAAATGATCAATTTTTGTCATCATTAGTACATAGTGGCTCTTTATTGAATAAAAAAGCTATTATTAATTTATTTGTTCAAATAATACATTATTGCTGCATATAGAATGTTTGTTTTGTTAAAGGTAACAGTTCAGTAAGTTTTATTTCAATATAAATATTATAGCTATTTGATGTGATCTATAGGCGTAAGAGACTAATCAGTTTTCTGATTTTTATCACTTATATTGGAGTAATATTTTGATCGATCATAGTACTCTTCACACAGATCAACCGATGGTAGTACACTTATATTTTTTTTCTACAAAAATGATTTGTAACAAAACATTAGTGAGAAATATTATGCGTGTTCAAAAACAAGCTTCTGATAATGGAAAATATAGCTTGATCAACGATGCCTCATTCTTCTTCATTTGAAAATGGTAATTGTGAGTGTGTGTGTTACTGTAACTAAACGGTGACTCTAAATGGTTCAGCAAAAGATTTCTAGTTTCCATCGTATTTCAAAAGCACAGCAGAGCTACGAACATTCTAAAACGAAGACAGATCGGAAATTAAATGATTACGTTTCTCATTGTTTAACTTTTCATTATACAAGTGATACTTGAAAGCATTGATAAAGTTCAAAATAATGACATTCTGAAGGTTTTGTAGATGTTATTGGATATTTTCCACATTTCTTCTAGTTCTACTAGGCTTTGAAAATCTGCTGATAACATGCTCATGCAAATATCGAAAGGTTGTAGCTATCACATCGAGAGATATTTTTAAATTCTACAGATACCACATCTAGGTAGGGTCCAGAAATCTGAAGGTTCGATCTCTAAGTAGATTTCTAAATGCTACAGTATCAGTTATCGATGTTTGTCAATCCACAAATAGATAAATGATATTATGTAGTTAAAATCGAGTTATTTTCATTAGTAAACTCGCCATCAACTAATATCGATATCTGTATTGATCAAGAATCGACTTAATAGCTCTATCAGTTTAAGACTCTCTTTATATTTTTTCTTATGTTATAAAATATCGAATCGATTGATCGATTTGAGAAATATTCTATTCAGGCATTACTTAATAGAAGAAAAAAGATCAATAAGAATTATAAAATAAATATAAATTTTCTGTCAATGAAAATTTATTTAATCTATGTTACGAAATTTTCTTGAAATACAATTTGTAGTTTATTCAAAAGTGATTAAAATAAAGACGCCTGGTGATTTTCACCTTTCGTAAACTACAATTATCAGTGTTAAATGAATTATTAATATTGCATTAAAATATATCATAAATTTTCGAATTTATACTTCCGTTTTGACGAAAGCATGCAAATGTTTTTTGATTGAAACGAAGTCAAACATTTTCTTGTTATTTGCTCTACACATTAAGGTCTAAATAGAGTTTTATGCAATAAAAGTTTAAGTCTTTTATCTCAGTTGGGAATGATTAAAAAAGAAATAAACACAGTATGAGAAAACTAATCGTGTAAATATTTATCTACCTTTATGTTATAGTTTATCATTACTCATAGTGTAAAATGAAAATCACTCAACCATGCCGTGAGAATATTATACTAGTACTCATGTTGGAAATTTTTTCTTTACATTACTTTGATAGACTCATTTGCTGCAAATAAATACAGTAGCAACGGTCAACTGTATACAATAAAATCACATAATTATTCACATATTTTCTTCTCCAACATGTATAATTATTCACGCTCTTCGAAACGACTATTGGCAGAACTCAAAATTTTGACCAAGAATCTTGACGTTCAATCATACTTTCAATACGAAAATTCAGGAATTGATGAAAAATTAAAAGAATTTTGTATATACGGATATTTATTACCTCGTGCAGAACCGTATAAGCATGGCTCATTTAAAGTACGTATTCGATTAAGTCCAGAATATCCGTTCAGAACACCGCAGATGGACCTGTTAACATATATTTATCATCCAGCTGTACGCAACAATGTTTCACGGCCAACTATGTGTACTGCATGTGGTTGTTATGAATGGACGCCGAGTAATCTTATCAGCGCATATATAAAATATTTTGTAAACGTAATCGATCAACCGGAAGCTATTGGAACGTATTGCGTGCTTAATTCGAAAGCTAAAATGCTGTATGATGAAAATAGAGCAGAATATGAAGAAATAGCTCTGGCAATGGTAAAGGCGTATTCGTGTCCACGCTCAGATCTATCCATTATTTCATTGAAATTCACTGTCAAGAAAATGATTCTTAAACAACTTGACTTTAATTCGGCTAAAATTAATCAATTACCATTAATGAATCACTTGAAAGAATATCTGCATTCATCATTATATAGAAGTAAAGACACTGAAAAACCATAAAAATTATATCTCTTCCAGTATATGTGAAACAATATTTTTACTGAACTTTATAATATTACATGTACAATAGAACAATCGGGTAGCATTAGTCAGTTGTTGTAAGCACAACACACTGATTTGAAATCACAAATTGTTGTAAAAATTGATTCCTCAACTTATAAAAACCGATATGATATTAACGTCATGTTTTTCTAGCCCATGTAAAATCAAGAGGTGGCGCATAATAAGCAATAGAATGACGATAAAGTTCAAAATCTCTGCAAAAAAATATAAACTACATACGTCAGCATTAATTAGAAATATTCAGCATTGAATCAACACAGAAAAGTCGACCTAATATCAGGTCAAGAGCTTTTTGTTCAATAACTCTCCAGTATTTCTTGAGAGATTCGTTGAGAACTGAGTAAGAGAGGAATTTCTTTTGCTCAAAAGATAAAAGAGAAGTATAATCAGTTTCTCTTTATAATATAGGTTTTCATTTAAAAAAATAATGAAAGTAAAACTTATAGTAGAAGACGAAGTACTAGTCCTCTTTTTACTATTTTCTATTTTTGCACTAACATGTTCAAAGAGAAAAACATCACGTTCCAACCATGATAAAAATAAAAGAAACATGCTGAATACCTAACAGAAATCAATATTGATATTCATGAAAAATACTAATATCGGTGCATAGCAATTAAATAGCTAATACGAAATGAATCGAAATAATTGATCATTGAAAAGCAAAGAAAAACTTAAACAAAATAGAGTTTTTATGACATATATTTCTATCGTTTTGTAACTGACAAAGACATATTTCATGCTGTTTAGTTTCTTAAGATTTTCCTTATTGATATTTAGAAGAATCGGTGTTTCTTATGAAAGTTTACAATAGTCATCACGTTGAATCAATACTCTTATAAGATTAGCGAAATTCGATGAAAGACGATTAGAGTGGAAATTCCAACGTAAATCCTCGATCAATTTGCAAGAAAGTCGATGGAAAAGAAGATAAAACACTTATAATAAAAATTGAAGTTATCTACTCACGAAGGAACCTTTTCAGATGACACCCTCCGTTTTGATTCGTTCGTATCTCATTTAATCGAATATATTTAGGTAGTAAAAAGTCTAAAGGGATTTTTCCCCAATGTTCTTCCTTCAAAAGTTACGGTCGTTTTATTGAATTTTCGACCCATTTCCAGGCATTTACGAAAAATTCAAAATAGGGAATTTCGACTTGATATTTCGCCCATAGATAGGTCTAATGGTCCTTAGAATATCCTGAAAGTTTCAGCTAAAAAGAATGTTTCTTTCTTGAGATATTGAATTTTCAAGTGAACTCGTTTTTTGTGACCAATCTGTGGCAGGCGACTATTTTTTGAAAATTCAATATCTCAAGAAAGGAACATTCTTTTTAGCTAAAACTTTCAGGATATTCTAAGGACCATTAGACCTATCTATGGGCGAAATATCAAGTCGAAATTCCCTATTTTGATTTTTTCGTAAATGCCTGGAAATGGGTCGAAAATTCAATAAAACGACCATAAGTTTTGAAGGAAGAACATTGGGGGAAAATCCCTTTAGGCTTTTAACTACCTCAATATACTCGATTAAATGAGATACGAACAAATCAAAATGGAGGGTGTCATCTGAAAAGGTTCCCTCGTAAGTACTCTCGAACTAAAACATTTCTTCACGCCTACTCAAATTCTAGTTGCAATCTATAGTTTTTACTACACCTTGAAAGCATTCAGATGTAACAATAATTCCCAAATCTGGATGACAAGCTACTCGTTCAACATAACATATTGGACTATTATAATCTGATTTTTCAGTATTAAAAGACAGATTTCATTTGAAAATTGATTAAAGCTTTTTAATCTTTTCTTATAACGTTTTTATTATATGAGCACATTGGAGGGCAATATGAAAAAATTTCAAGACTATAAAACATATTTCCTTAAATATCACCTGTAGCTGTTATAGTTACAGATGACAATAAATTTTTTTTGAATAGTAATAATATATCTATATGCTCGACTACAACTGATTTATTATATTTGACTTGCATAGCAAAAATCATTCAAGAATGAGTACTCTGTGGTATATTTCATTATTTGTTTTTATTGCGACCTACTCACAAAGAATATTTCATAAACAAATTGCACTGTTCGAACCATTCTCCATCTCAAAGGTGTCTAGTTTGAAATTTTTCTTTCTATGAAATAATAGTTGATTGAGTAATTCTATTGAAAGAAGAAATATTTAGATCGAACTGATCTCCTTTAAATATTCTTACAGTCTAACAATTTCAACAAGTTATTCTTCAAAAAACATTGCCATATTATGACACTTGAAAACTAATCAAAATTAAACCGTCTGTCGGATCCATTGTTTTGACTATACTTTAGAAACAAACAAAATACGCACTTTATCAATAACAACCAGGAACAATGTCTATTTTTGTAAGTGCTGTTTCAGGGTGTCTTATATCAAAATGAGTGAATATTTTTGAAGTCTATTACAACTGATAGAATGTACTCATATAATGTTGATATATCTGAATTTCCTATACTAAATAAAGATCCCAAATCGATTCCAGTTATGATATAAACTTTTATTAGTAAAAATATTACAGTTGAGTATATTCCCTCATCAGTTCTCCTCTCTCTGCTTTCTTCAGACGTTGTTTAAGTATGATCCCTAATATTTTGATATTTTCTATAAATCTTATTAGCATTTTGATTATAGGTGTCCTCATGCATTCAAAATTGGTTACAGTAGAGTACATTATATATACTATTTTGTCTCCTTTTATTGTATTATTTAGCTACAAGTCCACCGATATATGTTCCTGGTGGTGATCTTGCACCAGTTAAATATTCTGCTGTTAGTTTAGCAAATTCAACAGCTTTAGTTGATGCATGGGCTCGAATAAATTATAAATTCGATCTTATGTATTCAAAACGAGCTTTTATTCATTGGTATATTAGTGAAGGAATGGAAGAAAATGAATTTAATGAAGCTCGAGAAAATTTAGCTGCTCTTGAAAAAGGTTCATATTATAGAATAAAAACAAAAGAAATATTCTATGTTTTTTATGAATCCTTCTTTTTTATTATTATTATTAAGATTATATTGAAGCAGGACATGATTCAATACAATTGGATTCAGTTCGATCTAGTCTACTAAATCAAGAATAACAAATATGATATGTAACTTAATGAATGTCGAACGAGAAATTTTTTTTTATATTTGTATTTCATTGAAATATAATATTTAGCTTTTGATAATAATTACGTACGATAAAAATCGTTTGCTTTTTATGTGCAAAGAAAAAGAACAAAGATTCTTTTTGTTTTGGTTTTTTCGATAGCTTTTTCTTTGTTATGTCGTAAATGAGAAGCCCAACAAACAATTCATCTATATGATTCATCTAACAACACAGTATTAATAGGTAACATAAGAAGCAAACATTTGTATTACTTGTTGTTTTTGTTTGTATAATCAAAATGTCTTGTCCCGGTCGTTTCAAAATGGTTTTATTAGGCGAATCAGATGTTGGAAAATCTTCTTTAGCACTTCAATTTGCAAAAGGACGATTTCTAGAAAATCCTTACAGTACTATTGGTGCTGCTTTTCTTACAAATACAATTAAAATTGATCAAGATACAACACTTCATGTTGAATTATGGGATACAGCTGGTCAAGAACGGTAAATTTCTTTTGTTATGAATATAAAAAATTAAAAAATTTTATTTCTCTAGATATCATTCTCTTGCACCAATGTATTATCGTGGTGCTCAAGCAGCTCTTGTTGTCTATGATATAACAAATTTTGGTTCTTTTCTTCAAGCAAAAAAGTGGGTAAGAGAATTATATCAAGACAATCGAAATGAAATGATTATTGGCTTAGCAGGAAATAAAACTGATTTAATAGCAGAAAATAAACGTCAAGTTGAGACATGTGAAGCAGCTGAATATGCTGATGAAAATGGACTTATATTTATGGAAACATCAGCTAAACGGGGTGATAATGTCGCAGAAATATTTATGAATGTTGCTAGACAAGTTGCTGTAAAACAATCAGATAATAAATTAATTAAATCATCTAAACCATTGCTACTAAAACCAAATAAATCGTGTTGCAATGGCAATAGTGATCTATAAATCATAATAAATTTCGTTTTCATATTGTTTTTCGTTCGATCATAAGATGTTTGTATTAATAAAAGTATTTTTTTTTTCTTTTTCATCTCATCAATCTTATTTCTCACACATATATATAATAAAGTCATTTAATATATAATTACCTATTCTTGACATAATAGAACTCTTATGCCTATACTATATACGAATAATTATTCATCACCATTACAAAACTATATATATATATATATATATATCTACTTAATATATTTAAGATGAAATCAAGTGGATGAATGAAGTGAACACTTCTCACACACATAGTGAGATGTACCATTGACAGGTGCGTCTACTGACAAATGACTTATCCTTATTTTAATCTCTGTTGGATTTCACCCACTGGCAAAAAACTAATGGAATCGTGAAGATATACTATTTCGTGTGTTAATTGGCCTATAGCCGCTTTATCTTATGAAGTTTCTTCTTTTTTTTTTTTTGTTAAATCGATCGACTGAGGTGATGACGAACTATAAAACATAAATGTGTGAACGATCAAGTCTGATGAGATTAACCATCACCTTTATTGTTCTTTCATCCTCATATGTGTATGTTTTCAATCGATTGACACATTGCTTCATATTGAGTCCATCTGTTATCTCCCTTGTGCGTTGAAAGAAGAAAAAAAAAAAAAAAAAAATTTCACATGGAAATTATCATTATTATTAGAAATGTTTTTTCATGTTCACATTGATGAAACAGAAGAAGATAGGTAATATTATGTTATATTGGATTTTTATATTTGCAGAAAACAAAAAACAAAAGATTTTCGGTAATAAAAATATACAATTCATGTCACGCATTGACACGTTGTTTTTTTTTATTCGCTTGTTAATGTTTGATGAAAAAAAAAGATTGACATGAAATGAATGATGAATAGTAACCCGCTGGCGACAATTATACTCGTCGATCAAAAGACGACATGAGCAAGATGACATCTTGCAAGACGAAAAAGCAAAAAAAAAAAAGATGTACCGCGCAAGTTCAACATTAATAAAACTACTTGAAAATTTTAATTGAAAATGAAAAGAATTGAACATCTAATTATTTCTGGTCAGGCGATGAAAAAATGAGAATTTTGAGAGTAATGGCCGAAGAGCTCGTGACTTCGATCAAAATGATATTCATTTTATGAGTAATAGAAAAAGTCTAGAATGATTTGGTTTTTCAGATCTTCGTTCTTGAGATTTTACACGAACAAAAGTTCTCAATGAGATTAGTAGATTGTGTATTTACTTACACCATTACTTCAAATTCAATTAATAAAAATAATCTATATTGAAAAACTTTCGACCTCTCTCTCTTCAATCCTGACGACCTCGAAACATCCCTATCGAAATTTATGGCAATTAAAATAAGCATAAAGAACAAAATATAGAAAAATTATTGGTTGATTGCATAATATGTATATGATTGGTTGAATGGATATTATGTGTTGATGATGTAAAGAATGTCTCGCCTTGATTACGTAGAAATTGAACGAAAGAAAGAGAGAGAGAGAAATTTTTTGACCTATATATATAAGACTATTGACTACGTAATATTATGTTCATTCTGACATAACTCACACTTGATCTATTAAACAAAAAAAAAAGAAGGTGCTTATAACATCAATAATAATGTCATTTATGATCGATAAAATTCTTGGTTCATCATTACCATCAACAAATACAAAACGAAGACCACTTGAAACATTAACAAATACTCTTATAAATGTCTCATTAAATAGTAAACAAAAAGAACGTCGTATGTGGAAATGTGAAATATGTGAAAAATCATTTGATCGTCCATCATTATTAACACGACATATTCGTACTCATACAGGTAAAATTAAAATAAAAAGATTTTAAATTAATGAAAATAATTCTTTATTTTTTTTATTGTTTAGGTGAAAAACCACATGAATGTGATGTATGTTCAAAAGCATTTTCAACATCATCATCATTAAATACTCATCGTCGTATTCATTCAGGTGAAAAACCACATATTTGTGATATATGTAATAAACGTTTTACTGCATCATCAAATCTTTATTATCATAAATTAACTCATAGCAAAGTAAGAAAAATATTATTTTTGCATAAAACAAACTAAAAAAATTTTTTTTTTTCAACTAGGATAAACCTCATAAATGTTCACAATGTTCAAAAAGTTTTGCAACACCAGGTGATCTTCGTTGTCATTTACATGTGCATAATGGTACATGGCCATATCGTTGTCCAATATGTACAAGAGGATTTTCAAAACAAACAAATCTTAAAAATCATATACTTATTCATACTGGTCAAAAACCATTTCAATGTCAATTTTGTTTAAAAAACTTTTCCCTATCATGTAATCTTCGTTCACATATTCGTACTCATCACAATGAATTTCCATTAGATTTTTCATCATCATCATTTTCAGAAAATCAATCTTCATTGTCAATTGTTGATGATCAAGATGAAAATGAAAATTCTATAATTGATGTTGAAAATCATGATTAAACATTTTTCTTTTTCTTGTTCATTTATATATAACGCACAATGAACAGTGTTGTTTTTGTATATATATATATTTGTGTTTTCGATTAAAATGAAAATAAAAAGAAGAGATTTGATTCCGGAAGTTTGTCTAACATGATGAACGAGACAGATGATTTCATTCAAGATCAAATTTCTTGTTGTTCTCAAAGGAAGGAAGGAAGAAACTTTTTTTTTAATGATTGAACTCATCAAATTCATTTTTAATGACTTTCTTGTTTTTGCTAGACAATGTTGAGCATTGTTTTTCGTTTTATTTAATTCAAATTATGTCATTTGATGTTTTAGTTTTGTGTTCATATGCAAAGAAGATGAAATAAACCGAAACTATTCTAGGAAATAGGACAAATAATTAGACATGTCAATATAAAAAAAAAAAACGCATATGTTCCTATAGACTAATTTCCAAAGTAAACAAGTTCAAAGACGAGTTTCATTTGATGAACTTACATTATGTCTTTCTTCGAAATTCACAATCATTTGCTAATAGACTAATATAAGCAATTTATTATAGAAGAGATAACACTACGATGCTGATTAATGATACATGTTGTTGTTTTTTTTTTCGTTGTTGCTGTTGTTTTAAGATGTAGGGAACTGATTGTCTATATCTTTATAAGTATGGGAAAACATGCGAAAAAAGAATATTTTCTTTTTTTATGAGATATGAGAGTTAAATATGAATTGCTCTAGGGTTGTAAATATGTATTTATTAGAATAATGACGATCGAATAGAAGTAGATGTAAATTATTGTCAGAGTTGTTCACTAGCCAAGATTAACGTTCTTCTTCTTCTTTTCTTTTTTTTTTTGTTTCTTATGCCTCTCAAACGATAATTGCATGTATGCATGTCATGTGAAGATTAAGTGAAGTGTTGAAATCTCGAGAGAGTCACAAAAATATGAATGACCGGAAATAATCACATACAGAACATATATACATACCGTCATTTCACAAGTGCAAATGACTGAAAAATTGATTGAATCGTTAACTAATTACAAATGGAGATCAACATATATATATAAAAGTAGACGATGCCGAATATATATTTATTATGTATGTGAACACCAAAGAAAGTCGAGTGAGCGGAAAAGAAAAAGATATGTAAGAATATGTTTTCAAGTGAACAATCACAACAATTGACCACATCTAATCATCAAAAAAACAAACTCTTATGCAGTATATCTAATATCTGCATATCTGATTATTGAAAAGAAATCAATAAAATATTTATTATAGATAGCAAAATTTTAAATTGATTTCATATTTTTTTTTCTGATAATATTCAAATGCAAATAGTAGTTTGAAAACTTCACATTTTGAACAAACTTTCGGTCCCATAAAAACGATTCTTCGTGGCAATACATCTTTCATAGATGAACACGTCCCTACTATGAACTTTGAACACACAGGTACCTTTTTTTTTTATTCATCATCTCCTTTTCATCATTTCTGATTAATTCATTATAAGTGTATACATACCAGGGAAAATAATGACATCAAAACGTTATCTCACATTACCCATTTGACTCCTATTGCTATAGAGACTTCGAAATTTATGCGGTCATTGTTAATAGTAAATGTCCATTACCCAGTAAGTTTAAGCCTTTTTTTCTTCTGGATGGTTCGTGGGTAGGGTTATGCGAGGTGAAGTTTTTTTGGATCGGATTTTGGCCTCGGCCTAGAAAAAAATGAACCCAGAATTTATTCCTATTTTTTTTTTAAGTTGTTTCTCTTGAACTATGTTTTAATTAATGATTTATAAAATAATTCGTTTAAAATCATAGAATATTTAACCATGATCTTTAGTTCCAAACTTAAGAGTGTGGATGTGAGGAAAAAGACGGACATCTATCCACACATACTACAAATGTCTGAAATAGACAATATGATATCTGTTCACTCGAACTATACAGAGCATATAATATTGTAGAAT